CCACCCTCCTGCGGCTGCCCCCCCGCAGGAGGTGCACGGGCTTACCCACTGTTAGCTCCTGCGGCTGTTAGGTGCGACCGCCACCCACAGTGCGCACGTGAACCCCGGCGCTCCCCCCGCGACGTTGGGGCAAGTGCCAGCAGACACCAGGGCCCTTTTCCCTGCGGCTGTCCCCCCGCGGGAGGTGCTCGGGTCAGCACAGTGCAACCTTGACCTGCACCCGTCCCTCTTCGCTGGTTCCGTTCGGTGGCCATGGTCCGTAGTGCGTCGACTGATCGGACGGCACGCATCGCCGACTACGGTTTTCCCTGATGTAGGACTTCTGTGTTCACTTGTTTGGGGCTGGCCTACGTGGTGTCGTCACGGGATTTTGTTTCTGACGACGGCGGTGGTGCCCGCGCCCCACGTTCGGCACATGCTGTCTCTTAGCCGAGGACGAGCTCGCTGAGAACAGGCTCGTCGAGGACAAGCTCGCTGAGGAGAAGTTGGCCGAGGGCCATTATTCGGCACGCGGGTTTGGTTGTCTTCGACTTCTGAGCGGGCCGCTTGCTCGCCGCTTCTGCCCTGGCCGCGGCATTTAGGCATGCTTGACCCTTGTGACGGCGCGCGGCTCCCCCGCTTGCGCTCGCGAACAAAAAGTATCCCCACCAGCTGCTTTCAGCCCCCGGCGCCACTCAGCCTCCCTCGGCGGCAGCCTCGGCAGCCGTGAGTGCGTTCGCTGGGTAATTAGGCTCCGCCCGTAGCCCGGGTCGACCTTTGACGCCGCCTGCGCCTTCGCTCGCGGCTGCGACAAGAAGAATCCCCACCAGCGATGCCGTCGGCGCGCTGCCGCCTGCACTGCTTTTAACTTCGCTACGGGCGCGGCCCGCCGTAGCACGCTCGGCGTTCGACTCGTTTCGCGCGCCCGCGAACAACAAAAAGTACCCCCACCAGCCGGTGGCACAGCCTGCCCGTGCTCGCCCAGCGTTCGACCCGCATCGCGCGCCCCCGTACCCAAAATCCCCACCGGCCCATCTAGAAACGATTACCAGGTGAGTCGGTTAACTAGGGACGCCTGGAAGCACGCGGTCACGCAGCCCTTTTGGAAGCGTCAAAACTGGGTGGGCAGTACCCTGGGTCAGAAAACAAGTACCTCAAATAGCTTCGTTCTGTGAATTTGAAGATGGAAATCCGTGCAAGATACGCCGTGGTGTTCCCCGTGGTAAGAGTCTCTGGCGCAGGTGGCTGCATCTACGATCCAACGCCCATGTCGCGCAGATTGGAGTCGCATCCCGATGGACATCCTCGATCGTACCCCTTGCGACCCTTGCACTGATTTGCATCTTAAACCCGCGTGCGTTTCGGAAGCGCGGGCAGTAACGGTGAATTGGGAGATCTCTGGTAGCGAAGAGTGCGGGTGTTGGTGCTGGTCCTGTTGTTGCTGCTAGTGTTACTGCTGCTTGTCCTGCTGCTGCTGGTGCTGCTGGTTCTCGTGCTGACGGTGCTGCCGATGCTGCTGCGGGTGGTGATGGTGGTGGTGGTGCTGCTGGTGGGCTGGTGTTGCTGGTGCTGCTGCTGGTGCTATTACTGCTGGTAGTGGTGCCAGTGGTAGTGTTGTTGTTGTTGCTGGTGTTGCTGATTGTGCTGCTGCTGATGGTGGTGTTGCTGGAGCTGCCGCTGCTGCTAGTGCTGTTACTGTTTGTTGTGCTGTTGGTGCTGCTTCTGATGGTAGCAGCATGCAGTGCAACAACTGCCTCGGAAGTGTTTTTCTCGGACGCCTCTTGGAGCCATCTCAAGGCTGTCCTGTCGCCTCCTCATGCCTCTTCCTCTTCCTTATGTTGTCTGCTCCTACCGTTTCGCAGCACGCGCGCACGGCTTCCACACAGGAGCAGATGTGTCAAGACAGAGGCCACCGCCTCGCCCGCCTAGCCTTGGGCAGGCCTCGAGGAGGCTCCGCATTGGTGCCTCGTTCGCTCGGCGCCGAGGCCCGCGGCGGCCCGTGGTTCGCCCTCCTCGCGCCACGCCTCGTCGCCACGGCCAGGACGTCACCGTCGCCGTCGTCGCCACCACGGCAAAGTTCAGGGCGAAACAACACGGTGGGGGCGTTGGTTAAGGAATGCGCCCAGGAGGCTTCAGACCCTGGAGGATCCCTTCTCCAATGAGGGCGGCGGTGATATCCATGGCCGATCCACGGTTGGAGTTCCACCGGCCTCCAGATGCCTCCACCGTAGCATCGCAAACCCATGGCTGCCAGGGCGGGAAAGGCACGACTGTGAGCCCACCCGCCCACCCCCTACACCGCCCCCAGCAAAAAAGAACGCACACAAGAGTGTTACGTGTCGTGTGGTCCGCCTCGCGTCCCCCAAGCCCTCTTCCGCGTTTCACCGTGTTGCACTCGTGGAGAGGCCGCCGGGACTTCCGTTCCCTCTGCGGGCGCACGTTTCCTCACGTTTGTGGTGGCGGCAAGTCCTCGGGTTAGATGGAGCGACGACCCGCCCACCGTGGGCAGCATGATGATCTCGCTAGTGGTGACTGCTCACGCAGAAGAGGTGCCAGTGGTGTTTCAAAGCATTCCTCGCTCCCATTGCGCTGGGCCAAATCTTGGCTCCTATGCGTTCCAAGCGCCCACTCATGTGTTGAAAGCGCACTGGCGCTGCGTATGAGATGGCACCTGGAGAATCGCTAGGAGCTGGTTGTATTCTTCACGTTTCGCGTATCCCCACCAGGCGCCTTTGCAGCTAATTATCTCGCTCTGTGCCCCAGCCGAGTCCGCCCCGCTTCCTGGATCTGTCCACGGAGCCGCCAATCAACAAAAAAAAATCCGCACCAGCGCGTACGTCCTCGCGCTCTCTGTGTGGTTCACGCCGCAGGGCGTGCATAGAATTTTCTGGCATTTTGCCAGACTGCACGTTGCCCGAGCTTCCCTGGGTGCTCCCAGCCTGTCAGCCTCACCGCGCGGCACAGCAGCGGCTTTTTGAGCTGGCCCGGCTGGCCTGCTGCGCGCCCAGTAGCTAAGTAGGCCCGTTTCCGCGCCCCGGACAGCTTCTGACTCCGCCTGCGCCTTCGCTTGCGGACGCGACCGAAAAAGTATCCCCGCCAGCTTTTCTGCTGCGTAGGCCTGGCTGTCGCTTGACTTACGGACGCCGCGCGGCTGCCCGCTAGCGGTCGGTAAAAAAAATATCCCCACCAGCCCATTCCAAAGACCTACCCGTGAGAGCCGACGGGAAAGGGACGAATAGACACATGTAGTGAAACAAAGCGGGCAACCAGGGTGAACAGCGAGATCTCTGGAGCAAGTAAGTAGCCTTGGAGGGCCTCTTCGGGCCTTCCTTGGGGCCCGCGTGGGGGCGAGGGAAGGAGGAGGAGAAGGAGGAGGAGAAGGAGGAGGAGGACGACGACGACAACGACGACAACAACCGCGACTACAAAGAAGAGGAGGAGGAAAAGGAAGAGGAAAACGCCGGGGGCAAGGGCGAGGACGTGGAGGAGGAGGAGGAGGAGGACAACGATGACGAGGGAAGACTCCTCAAAATTGTCTCTTGGAGCCCTCTTGGGAATATTTTTGGTGTTCCTGGGGTCCTCTTGGGGCTCTTCTTGGGGGTCTTGGGGCTCTCTCGGGAGCCTGGAAGGCCTCTTGGGGCCATGTTGAAGGCTATCGATGAAATGAGGTGGGTCTTGGATGTGCCTCCCCCCCCTTCCGCCCCCCACCCTCCTTGGGATGCCAAAAGAAAGGGGCCCAAAACTTGAGATTGTAAAACCAATGGTTTTGGCATTCTGGCCGAGGCTATCCTGGATGCTCTAACCTTCCGCGCCCCGCCCCCAAAAAAAGAGCTCAGGGAGGGGAGGGGGAGGGTACCCCTCCCCGAAGGGAAGAGAGCTTTTGGAAGAGGAAGGAAAGATATCGTCAGATCATCGTCACCCACAGAGCTGGTGGGATTCATACCACTCGCCTGGTTCCTCCTTCAATGACGTCGACAGGAAAGACGACAAGGGGAAGAGAGCGGAGTAACAGGGAGTGGACAAGGAGGAGGAGGAGGAGGTCGAGGAGCAGGAAGAGGGAGAGCAGGAGGAAGAGGAGGAGGAAGGCAGGAGGGACCAGGGAGGAGGGAGGAAAGAATGAGAGAGAGGCAGGCAGAGACAGAGACAGAGCGAGAGAGAGAGAGAGAGGTAGACAGAGACAGAGACATAGATAGCGTGAGAGAGAGAGGACACACAAACCTGTCGACGCAGAGAGAAAAGCAGAGTACGCAGAGACAGACGCAGACAGAGACATAGGTATATGTTTATTGTATACCGCATGTGCAGATATATAGAGGGAGAGAAACTAATATTCAGAGAGGGAGAGAAAGAGAGAGAGAGAGGCAGGCAGACAGGCAGAAAGATATACACATACAGAGAAATCAAAAGGCATAGAAGGAGAGAGAGAGAGAGAGAGGCGGAGAAGAGAGGGTCAGTGCATTTAAAACTAGATCTTCAGGGACCTAAGCCGGCATTACTGCGCTTCTTGCGCCACGCAGGCGCAGCGCGGCTGGTAGAACGCAACAGCCGAGATGCTCCTGCGTGGTCAACGCCGAAAACAAGGAGGGCGGGGGGCGAACGCCGCAGCAGGAGGAGGAGGTCGCCGAGGATGGCGACGAGGAGGAGGTCGAGAACGGTCCTCGCCCCACCGAGCCCTCCGGAGTTCACCCACGCCCCGCCGCGCTGCCACGAGACGGGCGGAGGCCCTGTCCTTCGGGGCCGGTCGGCCCGGCTGGGCGCGCTCTGCGGCGTGGCCGCTGCCCCGTCGGCGGCGGCGGCGGCGGCGGCGACGACGACGACGACGACGACGGCGGCGGCGGCGGCGGCGGCGGCGGCGGCGGCGACGACGACGACGACGACGACGACGATGATGACGACGACGGCGGCGGCGGCGGCGGCGGCGGCGACGACGACGACGACGGCGGCGGGCTAGCGCCGCAGGCGTTGCGCCCCCGTGGTTCGGCAGAGCAGGGCGGGCGAGGGGGGGGGCAGCCGCGGGCCAGGCGCCTGGCCGACCTGCAGCGGTGGTCCGTTTTCTTCACCTGCTTCGTCGCGGCGCGCCGCCCCGCCCTCCCGGAGCATGCTCTGCCCCGGCCCCGCCACCCAAGAACGAGGAGCATGAGGAGGAGCACGAGGAGGGGGAGGGGGAGGAGGAGGAGGAGGAGGACGAGGACGAGGAGGAGGAGGAGGAGGAGGAGGAGGAGGAGGAGGAGGAGGAGGGGGAGGAGGAGGAGGAGGAGGAGGAGGAGGAGGAAAAGGAGGGCGGCGTTCGGATTCCCGTTGGGGAACATCCGTTACAACTGAAACGGCACAGAGAAGATTAGCATAGCCCATGCGCAAGGATGACACGCACAAATCGAGAAGCGTGTACAATTTAGAAATATGCGGCACGCTCGTGAAAGAGGAGGGGGGCGAGGACGAGTAGCACGAGTAAGAAGACGAGAACGACGACGACGAGGAGGAGGACGAAGAGGAGGAGAAGGAGGGTGAAGAGATGAGGAGGATGCTCCTCAGCTCCGTGCCCTCTGGTCCCAGGCGGAGGACGCAAGGGGTGGGGGGGCAAGCTAGGTGCGCTGGCGCCTCATCTGACATCCTACCCCTCCCTCCCATTTCTTCCCATCCCATTGCGCTGATCATTCGTTTTCTCACTGAAACGGGTATCGAATCAGACCTTCATACCGAAATGGACCAGAGAGGGAGCAACGAATCCTTGACACGCAGACCGATGCCGAGGCCTCGAAGCGGCGTCGACGCAGAGATAAAGGGGGGCGTGAAAGGGAGGGAAGGACCTGGGATCGGCAGGGGGTGGGGAGGAGGGAAATGAAAGGGAACGAGGACAAATGAGAGAGCCAAGATGGTGGGAGGGGGGGTGCGGGGCAGGAGAAGAAGGAGGAGGAGGAGAAGGAAGAAGAAGAAGAAGAAGAAGAAGACGACGATCAGGAAGGGAGAAGGACGAAAAAGACGACCAGGAGGGGATTTCGATGGCCGATCCGACTTATGAATTCTGGGCCCGCTGTCCAGCCTGGCCGCATGCTCGATCCTGCTGCCTCGGCGGAGGCCCCTCCTCCTGCCAGGGAGTGGGACCGCGCGAGGGCTCTCGCCGGGAGCCTCGGAGTCCAGCGACGCGCGGAGGAGGGGGGGGGGGCCCGCAGCATCGCCGCTGCTCTCCGTCTGTAGGGGAGCTTTCGGCGGCCCCTTCGAAGCCTTCGCGGGCTTCCAGTCTGCCGATCTGACCGGGGCTATGGCCGGGAGCCTCAGAGTCCAGCGACGCGTGGAGGAGGGGGGGGGGGCCCGCAGCATCGCCGCTGCTCTCCGTCTGTAGGGGAGCTTTCGGCGGCCCCTTCGAAGCCTTCGCGGGCTTCCAGTCTGCCGATCTGACCGGGGCTATCGCCGGGAGCCTCAGAGTCCAGCGACGCGTGGAGGAGGGGGGGGGGGGGCCCGCAGCATCGCCGCTGCTCTCCGTCTGTGGGGGAGCGGCCGTCTGCAACACCTGGCTGGCTGCGCAGAGAAGGGGGGGGACACCGAGTGGGTCTACGGTTGGGATTTGCGGAAGCCCTCCCGGCGTCCAGGGCCGCCTCCAGAGGTGGTCGGGGGCGGAAAAGAGGGGGGTGATGACTAGGGGGGGGTGGATATCATGGCGGGGGCCATGATTTTTCCTCAGATTTCTGGGCGCCTCTTCTTGTTTCATTACGTCCCTGGCCCCCCCGCTGGGCCGCGCACATGCCGCCGGTCATGATTTGCACCCCCCCCTCTTGGACACCCCCCTCTTGGCCGCTCCCGAGGTGGGCAGGCCCCGGTGCACGCGGGGCACGCTGCAGCCTGAGGGGACGGAACACCAGGCTCGTCCTCAGGATCACACGGTGGGGAGGGGCAGTCCGGGCGCCCTCCATCACTCGGGATGCTCCGAGTGCCAGGGGAGCTGTTTCCCGCGGCATGCCTTTCGGCGGCCCCTTCGAAGCCTTCGCGGGCTTCCAGTCTGCCGATCTGACCGGGGCCAGAAGTCCCGGCTTGGTCCTTTCGCCGCGGTCCGGGGCCGCCCGAGGCCCGTGTTAATCATTCGAGCCCTGAGTCGGAGCCTCACCGCTCTCGAAACGAGGCGCAAGAGTACCGGTGTCTTCAGTATCGCACGGAGGGGCTGCCCGAAGCTCGGCGCCGACGTCAATCGGTCCCGGGAGGCAGGCCCCTTGGGATTCCTCGTGGCCGAGCGGGGCGGCCCTAGCCGAGGGTGCTTCAGACAGGGGGGGGGGGAGGGGGGGCGATGCCCATCCTGCGGGAGGGCCGCCGATCGGTCGTCCTGGGGGCTCCGGGGGGAAGCGTCGACGCCTCTACGGAGGGTCTCGCTGGGGGCCGCGCCAGGGAGCCTGTTGGGCACGCGGTTGCGCTGATGGCCTTCCGACAGCGGGCGCGCAGGGGCCCGAGCACGAGGGGCAGGGGGCGGATCCTAGGGGGCAGAGGGGTGAACGGCCAAGCCCGAGAGGGCGGGACTCTCCCCATAATGGCCTGGAGGAGGAGGAGGAGGAGGAGGAGGAGGAGGAGGAGGAGGAGGGCCAGGTTCGGATCCGGCACGTCACCTCCCTGGGCGCCTGGGATGGGCAAGTGAGGACCCGAGAGCCCTGCTCGTCTCGGCAGGCACGTTCTGGGCCAACCGAGGGAGGATGTCCTTCACTGGTCCCAGGGGTCGGGGCGCAGGGACCTGGGGGAAGGGGGAACCCCCCTGGGTGCCCGGGCACGGCGTTCGCTCGCCATCGTCCGTTGAGTTCTCTGTCTGCCGTCCCAGATGGCCTTCGCAAGCTCCGAGCACAGCGGCAGCGGGCCCGAGGCCAGCTGCGCCACGCGCGGGGGGGGCACCGAGTGGGTGTGCGGTTGGGGGCACGGGGAGCCCTCCCTGCAGCCGTGGGGGCCTCCCCGAAGGGGGCCGCACTGGCGCACGGAGGGCAGGCTGAGGCCCGAGCGGGGGAAGCGGGAGAACGTCCTCGCGGCGCCTCCGACTCGCGCGGCACCTGGAGGAGGACCACTTGGCGTCGCTCGGACGTGTGCACTTTTCCTTCGGCGAGGACCGAGGAGCATTGAGGAGCATGTTTGATCATTTGGCGGAACATGCACGCACGAAACCGAAAAGTGCACGGGGAATGGACGTTCGAGCGATGGCGAGAGGAGCTGCTGCAAGGGAGGGACAGTCGGCCCTCCCGGCAGCGGGGCCTGCGCTCCCCGGGGGGGGCGCCCGAGCGCACGGAGGGGCAATGCGGAGCCCTGCAGTGTTCCCGGGGCCACAGCCTGGCATCGCTCGGGCGTGTGCATTTTTTCCTCGGCGCGGGCCATCGAGGAGCATCCTGGATCATCGAGCAAACAAAACACGCACGAGACCGAAAAATGCCCGGGGAATGGACGTCCGAGCGGTAGCAAGACAAAGGGGGAGCCTCGGGGGTGGACAGAGCCCCCACCCTGGCACGTCGATTAGTGAATTGTCCGCTTTCGGCTCTCGAGAGGGCGCCGCGGCCGTTGTTTTCCAGGCTTGCGCCCGCCAGGTTTGGGCCCGAGGTCGCCTTCACTAAGCCACGTTTGACTAAAGGGAGGTCTGTCCATCCCCGAGGGAGGCCGAGCGGACTGGCACTACACGCTGGGACCGCGGGGAACGCCTTTGTGAGGAGAAACCGGAGAGGATCGGCAGAGGGCCTCGCGAGGCCCGGAGTTGGGGAAAGCGCCCCTGGGACGGCCCGCGGGGGCCTCCAGGGAGGGCGAGCAGTCTCAGACGCTGGGGCCGTCGGGGAGGGACTCACCGGCCTTCCTGCGGGCGAGCAATCTATGTGGGCCGCCGCTCCTGAGAGTTCCTCCCCATGTCTCCTGTCAGCTCTTCTGGAGGCGCACGACCGTCTGGCGCTGGTGATGGCCTGGCCTCCGTAGCGAGGGGGAGTATGCTGTCGGTCGCGTCGGTGTGCAGAGGCGTCCCCCTTGCAGCCCGAGGCGGGCCCAGACCCAGAGGGGGTCCACCACGGTGGGGGCGGCTCTGACGATGTTGAGGCGACTGAGCCGACCCGTCGTCCTGACCGTCCATTGACCGACGCGGCGCGCTGACGCCGGTGCCCAGGCCTGAGGCAGTGCCTGCAGGCGCAGTGGGACTCTGCTCCGCGGGGGCGATGCTGTGGTCTGCCTGCCCGTCAGGCTCTCCAGCTGCTGCTGTCTGGGGTGCCGTTGCGCCCGCGGACTGGATCGGGACGCTGAGCCCTGGGGGGCTGCACGGGAGCCCCGTCCACGGGGGAAGAGAGAGCCGCGACGGTGCCGGGGGAGAGTCGGTCTGTCCCCACAGCCCCACCACGAGTGGCAGCTCCCGAGCTGGTACTCAGGAGGAGGGGGAGGAGGGGGAGGAGGCGGGGGAGGAGGGGGAGGAGGAGGAGGAGGAGGAGGAGGAGGAGGAGGAGGAAGAGGACGAGGAGGAGGAGGGCTCCTGGTGGGGGGGGTCGCGTCCAGGGAGGCCCCGTCGGGGTCCGTCGGCCAGGCCGCCGACCAGCAGGGGGGAGCGAGCGGCGGCCGCGGGGGTCGATCGGCGCGGGCGCGGGGACGGGGACCCTGGCGTCGGGCGTCCCCATTGAGCGCGGGAGGCCCCGATAGGGGGGAAGGGGGGCCACTTCGTGGCCTTGGGCCAGAGGCTACGGACACACACACACACACACACAGAGAGAGACACAAGTCATCGTCGCTTCCCCGAGAAAACCAGGGACAAGCTGCGAAGTGGTGGGGAGGGAAACGAAGTTCCGGAAAACATCGGAACATATGGGGAATCCTCGGGTTTGTGTCTATTTATCTGTGTGTATGTGTCCCTGGGCGCCTGAAATGGCGACCGCGCGGCCGGCGCGGCCGGAGGGCAGCGCGAGTGTCGCTGGGTGGCCCCGTCTGCGCCGCGGCGGGTGCCAGGCCTTCGCTCGAGGGGTGTCGCACGGCCTTCCCTGGAGGCCGCGGCGAGCCAACGAGATTACTCCGAATTTCGTAATTCGTCGTCGTCGATTGCCCGGACCTCGAAGCCCATCTCGGGCTTGTCGTTGGAGGCCCTTGCCGGCCTGTCGCCGGGCGAATGCGGCCCCCAGCTTTTCTCGGCCCGGTCCCGGATGGGCCGATCAATCATCTCGGTGTACCTTTAAGTCGGGCGTGTCCCTCTACAAGGGGAATATTCAAAAATAGTCCAAAAATAGTCTGGGGACGATGTTTTGACTATTTTTGAATATTTGGGGGGAATTTTTCAAGTATTTTTTAGTTTTCGCCCAAAATCCCCCTGTAGGGTGACAGGCCCGACCTAAGTGTACCTCCAGATTTCGTATAATCAAAGGGAGGGGGGCACAGCCCCTCCCGGACGAGCAGTTTCAGGCCCCGCCCCCCAGACCGGCCACGAAAGGGCAGCCTCTTGCCCAGACCACCCGGGGCACTCCAAGACAGCGCGAAGTCAGACCCCCCCAAAGAATCAGACCGCCCGTCTCGTTACTGCGAATCGATGTACATCTTGCTTCTTCACCTCGTGCTGCTGCTCCTCATCGGGAGCACGCCGAGACTGTCGTTGAGCACGGTTGGTAGACTGCACGTAGTCCCCAAGGGCCTCTGCGCTCCCAGGCAGCCCACCTCGTTGCCCTGGTGGCCACCCTGCTCCTGTGGCGCTGTTCCTTTGCTGTGCCTCCGGGCAGTGCGCGGACGACCGTTCAGCGCGCAAGACGAGGAGACACGGAGGACGAGGAGGAGGAGGAGGAGGAGGAGGAGGAGGAGGCCATACCTCCGTGCCTCGTGCACGAGTCTTTCCTGCGCGCAGTGAACATCGGCCATCCAGTCCAAGCCCGTCTGGCCTGGGCATGCTGGGGCACGTCGTTGCCCGTGCCCTCGACCTCACGGGCGTCCACGCGAGAACCTGCGAGCACCCCCGATCCACATGTGTCGAGCTCACGCTCGACGATGGGGCAGAGGCCCGTCCTGATGTTCTCTCTCGTCTGGAATGGCGCCGCTGTCACCTCCTCCAGCGTGGGCAACTCCTCCTCGGATGCCCCCATGGCTACCTGAGGGAGCTCTTCTTGGGGAGCAAGCATCTCGCCCGCCAGGCACGTCCTGTGAACGCCACTGCTGCACCCGGTGCTCCACGGTCGTCCACAGCTCCTGCGCGCTACGAGGCTGTACGTTGCCGTCCATATGTCTGGTGGCTGGCTGGGCAGCTGCCCCAGCAATGACTAGGGCTCCCAACTTCGCGCTTCGCGCTGCGCGAAGCGCGAAGCGCGAATAACTTCGCGCTCTCGCGCCGCCCTCCCAAAGGGAGAATAGGAGGACGAGGAGGAGGGGGAGAAGGAACGAGGACCGCGAAGCGCGAAGCGCGAATAACTTCGCGCCCTCGAGGGAGCCCTTGGCAAAGGCGGGGCCCTGGCAGGGGAGGCGGGCGAGCGACGGCGCCGGGCAGCAGGGCCTCCCGCGGTGCGCGGCACCGCACGTCGCTCCCGGGCTCCACCTTGGCCTCCCACGCCGCGCGCCGAGCACTCGCGGCGTCGCGTGCGGCGGAGGGGGTGGCGGGGAACAGGGCGAGAGGGCGAGAGGGCGCCAGGGCCCCTCGCCGCGCTGGCGCCTGCGCGCGAGCCTTCGCTGGCGCCGCCAGGGGGGGGAGGAGGAAGAGGACGAGCACGAGGGGGGAGGGACTGGGAAGCGGATCAGTTCTGGGCGGCCGTTGGCCCTGAACGACCTCTCTCGTGCTCTCTCTCTCTCGCTCTCTCTCTCTCTCTCTCTCAACATACCCTCTCCAGCCCTCCCTCTCTCGCCGCCTGTGTTTTCCGGTTTTGCGGGGTTGGGTCGGACAGGTTTCTCCCTTTCTCCTCCTTGCCCCGCGTTCCTTCACTTTGGGTGGCCCCCCCTTCCCTGCTCCTGTCATCATACCGCATTGACGAGCTACGTCGACCCGGCAGTGTAGAGGGATCGGGCTAGCTCCAGGCAGGCGTTCCTTGCTTGCCCCGGCAACACCGCGGGGTACTTTTGTGTTTTGAAGAGGGAAAGACGACATAAACATACTTGTTCCGAGGTCCGCGCGGATTTCTTGGATCGAAGATTTCCCCCTCCCTGGCGCGTTCACGGGCGGCGCGGGAGGCGCCACCAGAGGGGTCCATCGCCGAGCCAAGACATCTGCGCGGACCTCTGAAAGTCTATGTTTGTGCAGCTGTTTGTTGTTGGTTAGCTGCTTCTCCTGTTGCGCTGCCAGCTGGCGAGTGGGGCCTTGCTTGAGGTGAGTGAGTTCGGCGCTCTTGTGAGCTCTACCCAGGCCGCGGCTGCCTGCCGAGAGGAAGTTGCGTCCGAAGTTCTTGGATTGTTGGTTCAACGGGAACAAACCAACTAACCAACCAACCTCCTTCCCCATCCTCCTCCTCCTCCTCCTCCTCCTCGTCCCTCCCACCTCCCATCCCTCCTCCTTTACCCTCCACCCTTTTCCTCCTCCTAATCACTTTCCTCCTCATCCTTCTCCTCATCCTTCTTTTCCTTCTCATCCTCCTCCTCTTTCTCTTCCAAGTCCAACTCCCGCCCGCCGGAGACACCAAACCTACCTTGTTTCTCCTCGTCCTCCTGCTCCTCTCTCCTCCCTCCTCTTTCTCTTCCCCCCTCCTGCTGGCCAGCGCTGAGCCGGGACGCGTGCCGAGGTATTGTTTTCCTTTTTCTCCGCCCACGACCTGGACTGCTCGATGAATTCCCCGAGCTTGTACAATTATATCCACAACTTCACCTACGTGTTCATCCTCCGCCTGGGCGTCAACATTCTCACATTTTGTTGCCGGACGATCAAGGAGTATGGGGCATGGCGCGTATTGTTTTGCAAGTGCAACAGAGCGGGAATGGAACGGGGATTACGGCGGATTTGTAGCACGCAGCGTCTACCATGACATTGCACTTGCTGCTCTCACCGCTTATATCCCCTTGCGCAGCCCCCGCGGCTGTCCAATGTCGCACACATTTGGAGCCGTGGAAATCCATGATGATTCAGGCTTCGTCTGCACGTCTAGCTGTCGCTCCAAGGATGGAGGGGTCTCAACACCGCACATGTCCTGCGCGTACGGCAAGAATGATACTCGGATGTTCGGGCGTACTGAATGTGCGTAATGTTGCCATGCCCACTTCTAGATGGCACGAGTCAGAGCCTGTTCGCGTGGCCTTCTCTTACTCCTCCTCATTGATGTTCTCCTTTATATCCATCTCCCGCCCTGAACCACCCTAGCGTCCACATCCCCAATCCAGCTCGCCGTCCTCGCCCTCCTCTTTCTCCTCCCCCTCATCCAAATGATCCTCCTCCTCCTCCTCCTCCTCCTCCTCCCCCTCCTTCTTATCTCCCCTCGCATCTATCATCCCCTCCTCCCCCTTCTCTCCACTGCTCTACCTCCTCCGCCTCTGCCTATTTTCTATTGTGTGCTCATAGATCTGCATGCTTGCATCTGTACACATCTCTCTCTCTCGTTCTCTTTCTATTCCTCTTTCACTTTCACTTTTTGCCACAACCTGGCGACAATGCCAGCGGCTCTTCTGTGCTTTCGGCACGTCGGAGGTTCCGCCCTCAGGGACACAGCACGTCGGCAGTGCCGGTGATCCTGCACAACTACCCAACCCAGGAGGCAAGCGCTTCTTCGACACATTGTGGCGGCAATGCCAGCGGTTTTGTTTACTTTCGACACGTCGATGGTCCTGCCCTCCGGGACACAGCCCGGCGACAATGCCAGCGGTCCTGCACAACTACCCCCCCAGGATGCAAGCGCCTCTTGGACACCAGCGGTTCTTGTTTACTTTCGACACGTCGGAAGTCCTGCTCTCCTGGGACACAGCCCAGCAGCAATGCTGGCGGTCCTGCACAACTACCCCACCCACTAGGCAAGCGCCTCTTGGACACAGTGGCAGCAATACCAATGGCTCTTGTTTACTGCGGACACGTCGGAGGTTCCGCCCCCCAGGACACAGCCCGGCGGCAAGGCTGGCGGTCCTGCACAATTACCCCACCCACGAGGCAAACACCTCTTGGACACAGTCTGGCGGCAATACCTGCAAATCTTCTTTGCATTCGACACGTCGGAGGTCCTGCTCTCCGGGACACAGCCTGGCGGCAATGCCAGCGGCTTTTATTTACTTTGGACACGTCGGAGGTTCAGCCATCTGGGACACAGCCCAGCGACAATGACGGCGGTCTTGCACAACTACCCCACCCAGGAGGCAAGCGCTTCCTGGACACAGTCTGGCGGAAATGCCAGCGGCTTTTATTTACTTTCGACACGTCGGAGGTTCAGCCCTCTGGGACACAGCCCAGCGGCAATGCCGGCGGTCTTGCACAACTACCCCACCCAGGAGGCAAGCGCTTCTTGGACACAATTTGGCGGCAATGCCAGCGGCTCTTGTGTACTTTCGACACGTCGGAGGTTCTGGCATCCGGGACACAGCCTGGCGGCAATGCCGGCGGTCTTGCACAACTAGCCCACCCACTTGCCTCCTGACACAGCCTAGCGGCAATGCCAGCGGTTCTCGTTGTACTCTCGTCACGTCGGAGGCTCAGCCCTCCGGGACACAGCCCAGCGGGAATGCCGGCGGTCCTGCACAATTTCCCCATCTACGAGGCAAGCGCCTCTTGGACAGGCTGGCGGCAGTGCCAGCTCTTGTTTTTTTGTCGTCATGTTGGAGGTTCAGCCCTCCAGGGCGCAGCCCTGCGGCAACGCCCGCGCTCCTACACAACTACTGAGATGATTATTGGGTCTGGTATTGTTTACCGTGGGTGCTAAGTGGTTACCGACACGCTATCTACTACGGGGTAGTTATCCAAATAGGTTGGCCCTATCGGAGTCCTAGCTCATCACAAGTAGTTGGTCTTTAGTACGCCCCCCCTTTGCCAATGGCACCCCCCCCCCTTTTTCCAATGGCACCCCCCTCTTTTTCCAATGGCACTTGCTTGATTGCTCTTGCTTGCTTGTTATTGTTCGCTTGCTCTTGCTTGCTTCCGCTTGCTTGCTCGCGCTTGCTTGATTTTGCTCCTCCCGTTCTCCCGTCCTGCTCCCGTCCTCCTTTCGTCCTCCTCCCATCCTCCTCTCGTCCTCCTCCTGTCGTCCTATCTTTTTGGAGTCAACGCTGGCTGATGTTTGCAGGCACACTTACAAAAGGTTAGAAGCTGTCCAAACAATAACAAATCACAGGATCATCTTTCAGTAACCCCCCTTATGAGGCAAGCTCCTCTTGGACACAGTCTGGCGGCAATGCCAGCGGCTCTTGTTGTACTCTCGCCACGTCGGAGGTTCTGGCCTCCAGCACACAGCCCGGCGGCAATCCCGGCGTTCCTGCGTAGGTTACCCACCCACCCACGAAGCAAGCGCTTCTTAGACAGAGATTGGTGGAAATGCCAGCGGCTTTTGTGTACTTCCGACACGTCGGAGGTCCTGCCCTCCTGGGACACAGCCCAGCGGCAATGCTGGTGGTCCTGCACAACCAACCAACCCACCAGGCAAGCGCCTCCTGGACGCAGCCTGGCGGCAATGCCAGCGGCTCTGGTTTAGTTTCGACACGTCGGAGATTCAGCTCTCCGGGACACAACACGGCGGCAATGCCGGCGGTCCTGCACAACTACCCCGCCCACGAGGCAAGCGCTTCTTGGACTCAAATTGGCGGCAATGCCAATGTTTACTGCGGACACGTCGGAGGTTCCGCCCCCCAGGACACAGCCCGGCGGCAATGCCGGCGGTCCTGCACAACTAGCCCACCCACGAGGCAAGCCACAATTTGGACATAATTTGGCGGCAATGCCAGCGGCTCTTGATGTACTCTCGGGACGTCGGAGGCTCAGCCCTCCGGGACACAGCCCAGCGGCAGGGCCTGGCGGTCCTGCGCAGCTGCCCCATCTACGAGGCAAGCCCCTCTACCTCCTCCCTCCTCCCTCCTCCTCCTCCTCCACCTCCTCCTCCTCCTCCTCCTCCTCCTCCTCCTCCTCCTCCTCCTCCCTCCTCCTCCCTCCTCCTCCTCCTCCCTCCTCCTCCTCCTCCTCCGATCCCCGAGCTACGAGCTACGGGACACAGACTGGCGGCAATGCCTCGTTTGCGTTGGACACGTCGGAGATTCGGCCATCGGAGACACTGCCTGGCGGCAGTGCTGGCGTTTCTGCACGACCGTTTGGATTGCCGCACGTACACCCCGACACTCCGCTCTCTTCAAAGATGGAAGGGGGGCCGTGTAATGTAAAAGCCGCGGGGCGATATACTGATCTTGATCTGTAGCTTTAGGTGTTCGCTCTATCGCAACGGGAGGTCTGGACCAAAGGCTTCGCAGCCAGAGTCTCTCGGTACCCATGTAAATCCTTTGAATCTGGGATTGTGGACTTCCTAACCACGCACTTGGATGCGATCCAAGGCAGTGGCAGCAAGGTCATGTGCCATTGGATTCCCCAACGATGCCTCCCCTGCCCTGGGCTCGGGGGGGGCCATTTCTGTTCAATGGCGGGCGGCCGACTGGCCGGAAAATTCAGATTTGGGCCAGAACTCTTCGGTACAAGTTTGTGCCCCTTTTCTGGCGAGGTCACGGCTATATAATCGCACAGAGGCCGAAATTTGGGGGACAAATACTGCCCCCCTTCCTTGGCTATGGAGTGGGAGTGCCGTGCGATGCCACTGTAAGTTTGACACGCGTCTTCCCTCGATCCTACGGCCCATTGTTTGGCTTTGGGGAGGTCCATTTCTGTCCACGGCAGCGTGGCCGACGATAGGCTGATAGCCGGTATGCGGGGGCACCCCTCCTTCGCATCCGTTGCCTCTGGCCCAAGCCGTGCAGCAGGGCCCCCCTTTCACCCCGGGGGTGGCGGAGCAGATCGGACAGGCCTGCCCTTTTTTCCCCCAGTGTCTGGTGTCCCCCCCGAGGAGAAGGTCCCCGTGTCATCACAGCGGTGGTGATCCGCACCGCTTGGATCCCGGCCGTCGCCACTGCGACCCTGTTCACCATCGCGTGAAGGAGCGGACACGCGCAGAGCGTGCACGACCTCGTCCATCCCAAATGCGTCTCCGAGGCCTCCCTGGCACCGCTGTCGGCGGCCTGTCAGCCCATGTGTTTTCGTTCTCTATACCGAGCAATTGCCATAGCTTTGTTGTGGAGCATGTCCACCCTGTCGCCCCTGTCAACCATGGGATGGCGATCCGCCCTGCTGTGGGGCAGGCCCCCCTTGTCACCCCTAGGGTGGCGAGGAAGCCTGCTGTGGAGCAAGCCCCCCCTGTCAGTCCTAAGGTGGCAATCCGTCCTGCTGGGGAGCAGCTCCCCCCCCTCTCCGGGATTCAGGCGCGTGCTTCACGCCCATATTCGAGAAATAATCAAACGGTGCGTTCGTTGTGCACCAAGGTCCAACTGCACCAGTCGCGCTTCACACGAAACAAGGGGCCACACCGCTCCTGGTTTCCGTGGCTATACATTGGCGGGAATGGTTTTTCCTCAATGATGGAAATCGACGTCGTTGATCTTCCTCGTGGGTCATCGTTTGACCGACTTGGGGTCCTCTTGGGACCCGCTGGAGGTCTTCCTGCTGCTCTGGCCAGTCCCAACATGAAGATCCACGCTGTTGTTTTTCTGTACATGCCATCCTCTGAACGCCCTTGGGGCCCTTTTGGGACCCTCCTGCGGCCTTCCTGCGACTGTGGCAGGCTCCTAGCTCAGAGCGGCCTTGTTCCATGCATTCTGGACCGCGATGGCCGCAGGCCATATCACATGGGGTTAAGGCGCCCCTTAAGCCATATCACGTCAATTCAATTCAATACAATCCTCCTCTTCCTCCTCCTCCTCCTCCTCCTCCTTCTCCTGCTCCTCCTCCTCCTCTTCCTCCTCCTCCTCCCCCTCATCCTCATCCTCCTCCTCCTCCTACACCTCAACTTCTCCCTCCTTCTCCTCCGCCTCCTGCTCCTCCTCCTCCTCCCTCCCTCCCTCCCTCGTCTCTTCCCTCGCTTCCTCCTTCCTCGCTTCATCCTGCTCCTTGTCTTTGTAATCCTTCTTTTCTTCCTCATCCTCATCCTCCTCCTCCTTGTCCTCCTCCTCCTCCTCGGCTTCCTCCTCATCCTCCATTTCCGTTTCGTCCTCCTCCTCCGCCTCGCAGAGGAGGGGCGGGGCAGGACTACGAAGACGCTGCTGCGACCAGTGAAGCGATGTGCCAGGCGGGCGGAGAGATGCGCAAGTTTTGAGGGGCGTTGGCACCAGGCCCACGGCCAGCAGCTCTGTTTTCCTCCCTCTGGCACCTCATAACGACGACGACGACGACGACGACGACGACGACGACGACGACGACGACGAAATTGCCAGAATCGTTCGTTGGTTATCGTTCGTTGGTTATCGTTGGTTATCGTAGGTTCCCTCCCCGCGTTGGCAGAATCGTTCGCTGGTTATCGTAGGTTCCCTCCCCGCGGTTGGTTATCGTTGGTTATCGTTGGTTATCGTTGCCAGAACCGTTCGTTGGTGCTCGCAGGCTCCCTCCCCGCGGAATGGTGTCCAGCAGCTGCGCCTCGCCGACGGCGCTCCGGAGGTGCCCCGCATCCGTCGCGAACGGCCGCCGAAGGCCCCCCTCGCGTGGCAACAAGGGCTCCCTCGAGGGCGCGAAGTTATTCGCGCTTCGCGGTCCTCGTTCCTTCTCCCCCTCCTCCTCGTCCTCCTATTCTCCCTTTGGGAGGGCGGCGCGAGAGCGCGAAGTTATTCGCGCTTCGCGCAGCGCGAAGCGCGAAGTTGGGAGCCCTAGCAAAAGCCACGACGGCCAGGGTGTCCGCTATGAGGTCGGTTCGGTTGCGTCGCACTCGGCTGCGTTCAATCGTTTTTCGTGTTGTTGCTGTATCTCCCCAGACCTCGGGCGTCTCGAAAAAATCGAGACAAGGGGTTTTCGTCGTTTTCGGCCTCTGGAGGCCCTCGCCGGGCCTCGGGACCGTCAAAAAACGACTCGGGATGAAAAACCGGTCCCGGGGAAGTGGTCGGGAGGTTGGGGGCCCGTGTCTCGAAAAAATCGAGACGTCGGATGTCTGGGTCTGCACTGTTGAGAGGTTGCTTGCAGCCTGTCGGTGTCGATCGGTTGCGGTTTCGCTATCGGTTCGGCTCGGCTGGTCTGTGTATGTGTTGTTGCCGTTGGCGGCTTTCCCCAGCATGGTTGCCTCTAAATACCGCTCCTGATTCGCCAGAGTCCCGAAGCTCAAGCATTACAACATTCCATCATCGCATGATGCGCAGTTTCTACTAAAAAGTGTGCTCGCATGCGGCAGTAGCATGAAGCACCAGAAGGCACCCAGGTTGGACTGAATGTCCGCCCTTCCTTCCCACCATGCCGCACACACACACACACACACACACACACACACACACACACACGCACACACACACACACACACGCACACACACACACTTACACACACGCTTTTTGGTCTGCGGGTCGAGAGCGAGCCTCTTCCGGTTAAGAGCTGGGCGGGCCGCGCAAAGCACTAATTGGGGAGACAGGGCGCGGGCGGGCGGGGCCTCAGGCGGCCGGAGGGCGCGGGGTGCAGGCGGTGCTGAAGAGCTTGACACACACACACACACGCACCTCCTACGTTATCACTCCTCCGTTTTGCCCCCTTCCTCTCCAATCAATGTGCACGAGTTTTTGCGCGGGGTAGCCGCGTGCATGTTTGCCCGATCTGTTCGTGGAGTCCATGGGCGAGGAAAGGCATTGATGCGTCATCGGCCGAAGGGCCGACGATTGATCATCTTTCAAGCCTCATCTGCCTCCGTCTCCTTCTCGTCCTCTCCATTTACCATGTTACCTCATACGGGTGTCCTGCTGTTCTCTCTCTCTCTCTTTCTATCTCTCTCTCTCTCTCTCTCTCTCTCTCTATCTATCTATCTATATATCTCTCTTTCTCCCCATATCTCTTTCTCTCCCTCTCTATTTCCTCCCTCTTGTGTGTGTTCGCTCTCTCTCTCTCTATATATATATGTATATCACTCTCTCCCGCTGTCTAAATAAATATATGCATGTGAAAATGTATGTATATACATACATATATATATACATGTGCGTGTATACATATATATATACGCACATGTATGTACACATATCATGTATATACGTGTGCATACGCATATTGTGTATTTGCATAAGTATACACAAGATAGCATTGGCGCTTCGCGCCGTTCACCCTGGCCGTTCAAGTCCGGCACGCAGGCGGGATGAGAGAGAGGTAAATAAGTTGAGTAGCGGTAGCTACTTGTTGTTGCTCTCGTCATCGCCATTGTGATATTTAGTTATGATCCCTTTCCCTCGTATCTCCTCCTTCTTTTCATTTTCGCCCCACCCTGCGAATCATTGCACGTCCTCCTCAGTTTTTTGTTTGCGGCGGCTCCTCCTGGGACGGTCTCTCTGTTGGACCTCACGAAATCATTTTAGCGGCTTCTTGAGGGCCTTTGGAAGCCTCCTGGGCTCCTTTCCGGGGCCTCTGGGAGCTTCCTCGGGCCACCTTGCTGCGAGCCACGGTCTCCCTCAACGACCCGGTCACGACTTCGAGTACCTAGGGGGGCGTCTCGGAGACATTTTGGGCCGTCGTGGAGCTCACTTCGGCACACCTTTGGGCCCCGCTGGGCCGTCTGGGGGCTTCCTCGGACTGTCTGGAAGCCCGTTTGGGTTGTTTTAGGACGACTTTCGGGGACTCTTCAGCGGTCTCGGACGCCCCAGAAGACCGAAAAGCCAAGCTTCAACAAATCATGCACAAACCAACGGCTACGAATGCTTTTTACGTTTCGTATTTCTCTTGGGGATGTTCTTGGGGCCGTATACGGGCGCCTGGTGGGTGATTGGGGCCGCTTGGAGCTCTCGCGGTGCCGTTTTGCCACCCACCTGACCGCTCTGGGCTGCTGGCTGGGCCCGGCAGGGGCGCCTAGAAGGCCCAGAAGGCCTGGGGAACCCCTTGCAGGGATCAGGGGTGTCCAGTTTGGGAGGTGCTGTTTTTTTTGTTTTTTGAATATATGGATCAGTGCTTATGATAATATTTATAAATATATATACACATATACATATACATATAAATATACATTTACATATACATATACATATACATATACATATACATATACATATACATATACATATACACACACATACATATACATATACATATACATATACATATACATATACATATACATTTATACATTGCCCCGGCAACCAGGGTTGGGGCCATCTTGGTCATCTTGGAGGCATCTTGGACCCTCTTGGGCTGTCTTGGAGGCCATATTGGGCCATCTTGCCCGTCCCGGAGGCCATCCATGGACAGTGGTGGGCGGGAAAAGCCACGACGGGTACATATTCCAGATGGCCGGCGGGTGCGGCCGAAGCCCATTCGGATGTCTTCAGAAGTTCAGCACGCCAGGCACCCCTTGATAAATCAACAGCGGGCGGTGGATGACGGAAAACGCACGTAGCGTCGCGATCCGTTTGGGGTTGGCCTCGCCAGCCCAAGATCTAATCGCCCAATTTCGGCCATGTTTGGCCCTAGGACCCAAGTCAGCCCCAAGAGCGCCTGAGAGGGCCCCAGCACGGCCCAAGACAGCCCCAAGAGCGCTCAAGATACCTCCCAGACGGCCAAGAGCGCTCGAGGAGGGCCCAAGGAGGCCGCAAGACGGTCGGATGAGCCTTCAGACGCACAAGGAGGCCTTCAAAAGGACACCCAAGAGGCAAAACTCGCCCGATTCCCTTAAGACAAGTTATCAATTTAGAATATATGCTTCTTTGGTTCACGACGTCCACGACGGCCCAAAAGGCCCCCAGGATCCAAGACGGCACAAGAGGTCCTCAAGACGGCCCCAAGACGGCCCAAGAGAACCCCAAGACGGCGCAAGAGAGCCCCAAGAGGGCAACAAGAGGTCCCCAAGAGGGCCCGCGAGGGCCCCAAGACGGCCCAAACCCCCCAAGCCGGCCCAGAAGGGCCCCAGGACGACCCAAGGGGGCCCCAAGACTGCCCAAAGGAGCCCCACATGACCCCCAAGAAGGCCCGATCAGGCCAAGTTCGCTCATGTTCGCAAAGTTGGTGGTTAGCTTTTTGTATGACATACCAGCGTCTTAACACCAACAGGGTTCCAAGACATTGAGAAAGCGATCTCGAGCCCTCACAGAGAACGAGCGTTTTCCGTCCCCGTGTCAAGCAGGTCGAATGGCCTTCGGCCCACCCCGCCACCGTGCTTGGGTTGTGGATGAGATGCCTCTTGGAATTTCACTGGGATCTCGTGGGAGGCCTCCCAGGGGCCTCCAGGAGGCAGTTTTGATGCCTCTGGGGGGTGCTGTTTTGCGGCCTCTTGGAGCCTCTTGGGGCCTCGTAGTGGCCGCTTGGGGGCCTCTTGGGTGGAAGGCTCGGAATTTCTGTTCGTGTTCCACTTCTTGGGCCGTGTTGAAGCCCTCTTCGGGGCCTCTGGGGCCGTATTGGGGCTGTCTTGGGAGTTCCTTGGGACATCTTGGAGCGTCAGAAGCTCGAAAAGCGGAGAACCCCCAAAAAACAGTTTAAGACCAAACCAAGGGGGGTATCCACGATTGTTGTTTCTGAGGATCTTCTTGGGACGCCCCTTGGGGCTCCCTTGCGGCGTCTCGAAGGCGCGTTGGGCCGGCTTGGGGGCGTCTTGGCGCGATCGTCCGGCGATTCGAAGCACAATTGGACCGTCTGGGCTGCTCTTGTGACCCTCTTGGCTTGTCGTGGGGCCCTTGTGGACCCGAATACGTCGCGCGGGAAGCCGCCACGCGCCCCAGGGGGAACCGCGACAAGCCCCAAGAGATTTGGCAATTTTGGGTCCAGGCTCCACAAATAATTCTCAGGATTGAGGACTGAGGTTCCAGGGAATCGAACGAGGGATATGAGGACACTCCGACTCGTGACTCCAGGGCACGGTGGCGGACACAGCGTGTGTATATATAACGTATGTGAAAATGTGCATACATACCAACAGGCGTACATACACACATACATACATGAATGCATCCATCCGTCCATCGATGCATGCATGCATAAATACATGTATGCATGCGTACATACATACATAGACAACTATAGACATAAGCACATGCATACATACATACCTAGAAGCAAACATACAAACAAACAAGCATGCATACATGCGTGCATATGTACATACATACACACATTCATGCATACCGACATGCTCACATGCATGTATATATATATATACATATATATATATATATATATATATGCATAATTGCATACATACATGC